CAGACGATTGTAATCACATGTCACACCATTGAGAACCTTGAAACCAGCTAGGCGAGGTTATCATTGCCTACGACCCTGAGAACATGTATTTGCAGGGGCTTCTTGAGGTTTCGGGCAGCGCAGGTTGCTTTACGGTTTGATGACGATAACTTCAACCTTCCCCGCGTAGACTAGGCAGCGTCAGCTAAAAACCAAGACGGAGAAAAAATCCACAATTTCCAAGAGGAGGCCCTCGAAGAAGGCATAGACGGGGACCACGGTTGTCATTGCAGCGCTATTAGTTGTTTGAGGATCTCAAGTCTCGACGGGGTCCACCTACTTCCAAAAAGAAAGGGAACAGATAGTGGCCCATGTGTCAAATCGATACCGCTAATCCTTCCAAAGTTGCATTGCGCTGATGAATTTGCGAGTGGGGCATAAGCACCATGTCCTGCTTGCAGATGCATGACGATGCTAAGAGCGAGGGGCTTGCGTCTTTGGCGCACTGCGCATCGTCTTGCTTTTAAGATATTGGTTGCCTGCATCACATCAGAATATTGACGAAAAAAGGCAACCAACGACCCGCCCAGCAGTTGTAAGAGGGTGAGGTGGGGCAATTCAGATTTTGGCTGTAACGAATCACATTGCGTCGTGTAAGTGGATGGGAGGAATTGCTGGCAAGCATTTCGGATTCTAGCAACAACCAATCATCAGCTCCATCACTCCACCGCCATATATATCAGCAGGAAGCCGCACCTTCATTGCAGCCTGTCACGCCGTGTTGGCCATCATACAAGAACTCACTCCCTTAGGCAACTATTTGTATCGTTATTTTTTTGCGTGTCATCAAGTCGAATAAACACAATGTCTAAGCCCACGGAAGCGGAATGGTCACAGTTAAAGGCTGAGGTCCGGCGACTGTACCTAGTGGACGAGATGTCTCTGAAAGACATCATTGCTCAGATGAAAAGCTATGGTCTGCTCATCACGTAGGTGGCAACCTGGTTACTGCTCAAACGCGAATGTAGCTAACGCTTGCTTAGCAAGGCACAGTTAGAGTACAAACTGAAGCAGTGGAACTTTCGTAAAAACATCGACAAAGCTACCTGGATCTCGATCGATCACCAAATTGCCAAACGCAAGCGAGCGGGCAAAGACAGTCAGGTCATTCACTGTGGGAAGCGTCTAAAGCAAGCGACTATTGAGAAGGAGACAACCCGCCATCGTGACATGACAATATTTGCCAAACTAAATCCCCGTCAGTGCATATCTTGGCTATAGTGTTTGTGCCTCGCTAATGTCGTGTAGCACCGAGCCCAGAGCCAACAACTTCGACCGCCACGAGTCTTGTCGTCTGTACCCCGCCGGCGTTTCCCATGAAATTCGTTTGGCCAAGCACTCTACCATGGATGAAATTCCAGGCCGAGTATTTCCAGTGTTAGTACTAGGACGGTATACACATAGCTATGCTACCTACTTATTCTGGTCACAGCGATACTAAAGACTCAAGAAACTCGCGATTTTGGCGCTGAGCGTATCTCGTCAATCAACTCTGGCAATACCAGCTCACTTCTTTGTGATATAATAGCACCGGCTTCTGTTTTTGAGTGCAGCAATTCTCCATATAAAGTCACAACACTAGCAGATTTGATTGGAAGATTCATGCCTGAATGTTATCCGGAGGAACATCTACATCGTGCATACTGTCTCCTCAATGGGTCAAAGCAAGACTCTCTTCTTCGATGCTTCGAAATCGTGGTTTACAGGCTATCAAACAATCTTTCTGATCTTTTCGACTCTAAGGTGTGGAAAGCAACCACGGCCATCCTCTATGAGCACGGTATTATGAATCTTCGAGTCAACCCTTTAGTACTTCAAAGCGCAACAATTCAGTCGTTTATGGAAACTCTTTTCCGTGCCGCCATTTATTGGATTGCGAATGTTAAAGAGGAAGGGATTGACGATAGTCAATCTTTTGCCATATTGGAATGGCTCCTTTCCTCAGGACAAAGCCCGAATATCAGCATAATTATGCCTGCCATAAACGATTTTGCTTTGACGACACCGCTGCAGTATGTCGTTTCCTCCGGCAACCTGTGTCTGATCCACTGTCTGTTGAATGCAGGTGCAGATGTGAATCTAGTTCAAGCTTCTGGATGGTGGTCCAAGTCGCCATTAGAGCTTGCACTCGAGTCTTCCTATAACAGCACGACAGTGGTGATAGAAACAGTCATGGTTCTATTGCAATTTGGAGCTTCACTGAATCTCAACAAAGCTCTTCATTTAGCCATAGAGAGGCGACATGTCGACCTTGTTGTTGAACTTCTGCAGAGAGGGGCTGATCTTTGCTCTGTTGTAGAAAAAGAATACGGCTGGTTCATAAACGAAGACAATGCTCTGACTGTAGCTGCTGCAACTGGACTATCAGAAACACGGTTTATTATGAATCTTCTCGCAACACAATACTCATCAAGCTCTATAGCCAGCCTCATTACACCAAATTGCTTTCTTGCAGCCGCTCTGGAAGGAAATGATGACACTATCGGATACCTATACAAGGGCTCAGGATATGTTCTCCCTATATTTCCTAGTTTCACGCCCCTCCAAGCCGCTGCATGGAATGGTCACATGAGCACCTGCCAGTTACTCCTTTCCCTACACTGCCCTCCTTTTTCTATCACAGTCAACATCTCTCCTCTCCATCTTGCAACCTACCGCGGGCAAGAGGATATCGTACGACTCTTACTTGACTGGGGCGCTAACGTAAACGCTACCGCAACGTTGGGTGAGAGCTTGCGAAACCAACTTCGAATGTCCTGGAGACTTGCTAGACGGCCCCTCACTCCCTTGGAATTGACTATATTAGGTCCCTTAGGTCCCGAAAAGCTCGAAGTCAGGAAAAGACATCTTGACTGCGCTGCGACATTGATTCGAGCCGGTGCTACATTACTGGGATCGGAAGTGCTTCTAGCCGCTAAGTGTCTACACGTCGATCTTCTTTCGGCCGCCTTAGCTGCTGGGGGCGATCCGAACAGCAAGACCTCTGCAGGACTCAGCGCTCTCCAATGTGCAATGACTCACAATCGTGATGTCTTTCAACGTGAACCAAGCGATATGGCTGGTGCTGTCGCGCACCTCCTTCGCTACGGAGCGACGCTACGCGGAGGAGAAATAATTCTGGCCATTTCATCTGGAGATTGGGATTTGGTCAACGTTCTACTGAGGCATGGTGGAAGTCTGATGGACATTGATCATCGCGGAATGACGGCTCTTGGAGCAGCAATTATGACTGGAAACGATTCTATCTTGGAAAAGCTGCTCGAATTGTGCCCATTAATCTATGACGCAGGATCCCTATGCGCTGCTATTACCGCCGGAAAGTACTCAATCATCGATCAACTTTTAAGTAAACGCCCTCCGCACTTGCCACCGCACGTCTTAGAGATGACGGCGGTTGGCATAGCCGCTAAATCTGAAAATATCTGTCTCCTCCGAAAGCTTCTCTCATACCTACCACTGTCAGAAACAGCATTGGTCCCAATCAGTCGCTATTGCGAGTACTCCATTGACTTTGAATCTGATCAGTATTTTTGGCATAATCAAGATTGCGTAAAAAGCAGTCCTCTGTTTTTTTGTGTCATGGCCAAGAACACCAACGCATGTTACGAGCTCCTCAGGCAAGGATTTCGGCCCGACAAAGTTACATGGGCTCTCGTCGCCCAGGAAAACGACCTCTCAATAGCACAAGCTTTCATTAATCACCATCATCAAATTGGCGATGAGTCAGTGTACCGTTCTTTGCCTATTCATGGCCTTCTAACAGCGCCTATCAAGCGCCACAACAAAGAGCTGATATTACGGCTTTTGAAGGCTGGTGCAGATGTCAACGAGCACAACCTAGCATTGACGGGGAACCGCTCGGCTCTGCAACTAGCAGTTGAGCTCGCTGATTGTGATCTTATAAACTTTCTCCTGACAGCTGGGGCAGATATAAATGCCGCGCCAGCATCAAGGGCCGGTGGAACAGCGCTTCAGCTGGCTGCTGCTATGGGCCATTTAGGGATAGCAAAAAGTTTACTTGAACTTGGTGCTGACATCAATGCTCCGCCAGCAAAGAAACTGGGGAGGACAGCATTGGAAGCAGCCGCAGAGCAAGGCAGACTTGACATGGTTCGTCTGCTCCTCGATCAGGGCGTCCAAACAACAGGAACTGGACAGCGTCAGTATATCAAGGCAGTCAAATTGGCTATGAACGAGGGCCATCACGCAGCCGCACACTTATTGCGGGAGTTCCGGGAGTGGTCAGAAGAAGACCAAAAGGTCTTTGATTGGGAACAAATTGCAGTCGCAGAGCCTTGGAGATGGGCAGGGGACAAGGCGGGTTGGAGATGGGAAGATTTACTTCCTGATAGTGAAGACGAGTACGAAAGAGAGGTCAGCAACGATGAAGATACGGATTAAAGACTCAATTGGGCTGTAAACCCTCTCAACTTATGTCGATAGAAAGGTAGGTTCTTCGTCAGCATTTTTATTTGGAGCAGTTAATTTTAGAGATCCTCATCGTTCATGAAGAGACTAATCGCAATTTACTATCTATGTCCTTCTTTTATTTCATTCGCAATCATGGCCAGGCCGGGGATGTCTGAGGCCATGACCATGAAACTCCAGATTGTTGACGAAAATGCACCCCCTTTCTGTCAAGCAAAAGCAAAATGGAACTCATGTCAAGCAAATCAAGGCTGATAGTGCGAGCGCAAGTCGGTGCATAGGCCCATGACCATTATAGAGAGATGTGGCGATGGCTGAAGCCCTCAAAGCATTGTGGCAGCGAGCGGTTGACTCGTACAAGAGTAAAAAGGGGCATTGCAAGGATAGCCCCAGCACGATAGTTGGAAAGGTGCCCACCATACCCCACCTTATCTAAACCCTAACTGCTACAGCCATCGATTTCTAATCGGCAACAATTCATCACTTAGACCACAAAGCGGTGTCCCCCTACGCATCCCTCTGACGGCAGTGAAATGGTGACTGCTATCGATGCTGGCCACCTGCGACGATGCGTGGAACTTGCGCGCGAAGCACTCGAGGCAGGCGATGCGCCCTTTGGGACAGTGCTCGTCGATGCCACCGGCAACGTCATCAAGGAAGACCGCAACCGGACTGTGACAGGAGCAGACGTCACTCTACATCCCGAGTTTACACTAGCAGTCTGGGCTCAGAAGAACCTGACCCCAGCTGAGCGCGCTGCGGCCACAGTCTACACCTCTGGCGAGCACTGCCCAATGTGTACGACGGTTCATGCAAACGTAGGGCTGGGACGCATCGTATACGCTAGTTCTTCCGCCCAGCTTGTGGAATGGAGGAAGGAGTTGGGCATCAAACCCGGTCCGGTCAACATGCTTTCAATTGGTCAGGTCGCCCCCGGCCTATCTATCGATGGCCCAGCTCCCGGGTTGGATGAGGAGGTCCGCGAACTACATCGCCTGCGACAGGCTCGAGCTGCATCACAGGCTTGAATTGCTGAGGTTAAGCTGGCGCACCACAAGGTCTCATTTCACTAAGCAAGTCACGCGTAGAAGAGGGCCCACTGAGTATAACAATGAATGTTGAGGGACGAGATGCTACCTCGCTAATTATTTGTGAGAGAATATGCGCGTTGATGAAATTCTTGACAAAGGCATTTTCGTCCATGGCGATGCAATTATAAATCAAGAGATCAGCGGCTGAAAAGGTTGTCATATCGCGGATGATTTCACGATCTCCCCTCAAGTCTCATTGAGGTTTTTGTGCCCAAGCTGCATTGGACTTGTAGTAGGCGTGTACCTTGCCCTGACGAAGCTCCTTGCGCAATTGAACAGCGTACATGACGATATCGTCCCTCGTCCAGCCCAGCTGAGTGGCTGAGAAGCCAACAGTGCCCTCTATGTCGTTCTCGATAGCGGCTCTGTTATATGTGCCAATTTCCTTCAACTTAGGATCCTTGGCCCATCCCGAAGCTGGGATCTAGGGTTGATGGCATTAGCAATTCTTCAGCTCTGATGACCCAGACCAAACGAGGCAAGGCCACAACAGCAGATTGTGATGTGAGGTAGGGTAGCAACGGTGACAACCTACCTTGAATGGCTGCTCCTGGATGTGAATGAAGCCCGCCTCCTCAAGAGATTTCTTCTGCGCCCCATCGCGCACAACAGTGAATGAAGCAGTTGAACCCAGTTTCTTAGCACCCTCGCGGAATAGGATCCCCCATTGGGCAGCGGCTGTCTTCTCAGTGACTGTGCCATCGTCGGACTCAAAGAAGCCGTTGCACTCAAATGTCTCTATCCAGCCACCAGGTTTGAGAGAGCGGTACGCTTGCTGAAACAGAAGCGTCCAGTCTGTCACACAACCGATAAGCCATCGTAGGTGCACGTAATCGAGTGAGTTATCTGGGAATGTCCATTCCTGCGTGAAGTCGTCAATCTGGCTAATCATATCCAGAGCTATCAGCTACAATAGTTCGAAGAATGAGTTATAGCATATCATACACTCTTCATATAGAGGGTATATGTACTTACAACCGCACATTGGACGGCACCCAACTGGGTTGAATGGGTGAGATGTCAGTGCCGATAACCTCAGTGTCAGGAAACTCGTCGCCAAAGTCTCTATATGTGAGCGTACGGTTCAATCAGCCTCGAATTTCTATCGTGTGCTTTCTTTAGGAGAGAGTATGAGAGACAAATGGCTTAGGTAATCACATACATAGCCCAGATGCCCGTCCCGGTCCCAATGTCGACTGCTTTCTACATACAGCATGTCAGCTGCTAATGGTACAAAGCAAATTATGCGCAAGGAATAGACCCGACCTCAATGTCCTTGGATATGGGAGCCAAGTATAGCTTCCCGTCTTGGGCGAGCGTGAAGGCATGGTGTCTGGCAACAGATGTCAGCAGTGTGGGATCTCATCTCACAAGCACTTCGCATATACATCTTTTCACTCACATAATATCCAAAGTCTCGTTCTGCTGTTCATCGTTTGCGCCCCTTGATTCGCGCTTAATGTCAACATTGGCCATGAGGGCTACCAGGGGACACATCATCAGATGATTATAAGCCGCCATCCACCAGCATAACTTACCAATACTGGTGATCTCCACGATCGCTATGATAGGTTCGCCCATTGATTGTACGGTATTGCAAGATGCTGGAGGAGATGGATGCCGTCGAGGTGTCCGCCTCAGAGCCCAGGGCCGAGTCAGCGTCGCTCTAACCCATGAATTATTAATTATGGATGACTTAACCATGAAAATGATTGCGGGTTCTTGGTTTTCCAGACATTGTAACAACTTAATCATTGGAATAAAATGATACTAACCTCATCACTCTGGGCTGCTTGCTCTGCCCAATGCTGCGGCGGTTGAAGTGTGCCTTCGCCTGGCGCGGTTGTCGCGGCTGTCGTCGTTGTTGGCTGTGATTCCGCCATCTCGAGAAAATTGCTCAATCAGAAGGTCGGGTCGTTTCTGCAATCGACTTTGTATTTTTCTTACGGGAGTAGGTGAGTAACTAAGTTTATGCGCAAGTAAACAATGTATGTTCAATAGTCTGTGACCAACGAGAACCCCGCGCGAGAAACATCTTGGGACTTAAAAGACCGTCTTGAAACCTCAACTGACATCTTGATTCTGAAGAGAGCAAAAACGTGATATGATATCTGACAACTGCGAAGTAACGTGGGACATGTGGATAACTGCTCCAAGATCCGCTTCTTCAGTTGAATTTTCTGGCTGCTGCAGAACATCAAATTTAGCTGATTGGTAGAGAGATTGCAGGGTAGCCCAGCCTAGCTGGAAGCAGTCTAGAGGACGGACGGGGCCGGCGGGTAGTGGACTGCGGTTCCTCGTGTTGTGTGATGCTGGCCTAGTGTGGTATCAACCAATTGGACTCTGTCGCTGTGATGGTGTGTACCATGAGGGTACAACGGTACTCCCTTCACCCACAGACATTGTGACTGCACAGCCTGGGAATGACCAGGCTTCAGATGCGTGGCGCAGGCTTCAGCTCGGCAGAATGCCTTCTAGGCAGAAAGCCCATCAACCCCTCCTTTGTTGCTTAAGACGATATTGCGCTCAAAATTGAGAACGTGCTTTCTTGGAACAGTTTGAAAGGCATCTGATGAATTAGAGACGTCGTAAGGATGAGTGCTCCAACTACAAGCAAGGTTATTCAGATTGACAGGAAGTGCGGTGGGTACCGCATTGTGTTTCTCCGGGAGCAGTCTGAGCTTCAATAGCCCGAGGAACATCATGAGAAGGTCAAACACGTCAAAGAACTGGCCCGAATGAGATAGACTCATATGTTGGGAACAAGAATGTGCATCAGCACGACTCGTGGAAACTCCAAGCTAAAGAGCGCACAGCACTCCTCGCAGAAATGGCTCATCGCTGTAGGGGTAGAAGAGAGGCCACGTGGAGATTTCATTGTGCAAGAGTCGTGTTTTCTAGGTTCAATTCCGAGGTCACTTGGTATGAGTTCTCCGTTTAGACACGTCAAAATTCTGCTTTATATAGTGAGAACTGATCAAAGGTTCATGGCTGCAGTAAGCACTGTCACAAACGACTCTGTCGTTCGGATATTGAGTCATCAAGAACCTGTGCTGTGAGGGCAAAAGAGCGCGTGGTCTAAGAAGACGGCAGCAACTACGAGTTCCTTGCAGATGTTTGCGTCTCTTCTCTACTACATCAAACAACTTGTCAGTATGCTGTATCAGTTGTTGTCCGAGACTAAGAAATGAAAAAGCTGCAGCCTCGAGCCTGCTGGCCTGAACAAGATCTTGGGACACCGGGAACAGGAACCGATGATTCGAAGCCCTAGCTTAATGAAAAGTTTGCCATGGGGCAAAGAATCTGATGCTGCTTATGGCCTGCGGCAAACACAGAATTTTGATGTCGTTCTGAATGGCCTGGCCAAATTGCAAGATATTGATTCTCCTTTCACAATTAGTGCGCGACATTATCATACCTTCGCCAATGGTCGAATATGGAGAGCTGCTTCTATTTTCTTTTCTGACATACGAAGCCAAACAAGAGTCGGGATCAGACTGGCACTCAATCAGCCTCCAAGGCGCCTTTCCAATCAGAGAGGCCCTTCTCTCGCAGATGTCCGTCAAAGAGAAAACGGGAGCAGGGTCTCAATAGTCCTCTGGCCCGTTCTGCTAGTATAGGATCTTAGGTCTATCGGGAATTCCTCAGGAGCCTCAAGTTGCAGGATTGGATGAATGGGAGAAGAACCTGGACTTTTACCCGAAACTAAATCAGGATTTTTAAGATATCAGCGAGCATCATCTTCAACTAGCCGAGTTCCAGCAGTATCGAGAGCGACGACTCGGCGGTCGGTGGGAGAGCGTGGCGACGACCGTTCCAAGGAAGAGAAAGGGTGGAAATGAAGGAGAGTCCGATTACACAAATGGTGGGTTTGATGACACCACGCAAGAAATGCCTTTCCACTTCCCACATAGATATACATGACCATTGTTGGATTGGGCTACTTGTATGCAAGCGTGGAGTCATTTAGCCTTCTTTATTTGGAATCCTCAATTGACACCCATGTATGGTTGTACGCAGTTCCGTTGATTGCTACACAATTTGAATTATAGCTAAGACCATGATTTCGTCGAACATATTGAGATTTGATAAAGTCAGAAGCTAGACACATCTTGCAATTACGAATTTGGTGTAATTCAGTATATTAGAGGGAGCAGTAACAGAGGCCTTGCTGTGGCGGGCTTGGGCGAGAAAAACGGGAAGTTCGCTTCCTTTTCGATCGAAGGATTGCTGTCTACTACTACATAATGCGGGGGCGGCAGGCGGTTTCACGGGACTGACTTCGCCACACCACCTACACATTGAACCACACCCATCATGAAGTCCTGTCGGTTACAAGGACAGCTGAAACACATGCAGCTCCCCCATAACATGTCGCCGTGAGGCAGTCAGTCATGGACAGACAGATTGTGCCATCTTTATTCTGTATTTGCTCTGAAGTCGTTGACGATTGAATCCGATTTTAATTTGCTTCTGGTCATGTGTGCGTGAACTAACCATGGCGAAAGCGAAAGCTCAACCGCCAGCCCGACAATCAGTCTTGGACGGCGACGGCTGGCTCTTCGAGGTCCTGTCGCTCATCGCCGCCGCAGGTTTCCTCGGGGCTATGGGGGGACTGATTGTCCGCTACGACGGCCAGAACGCGAGCGACTGGCCATACGCCGTCACGCTCAACGCCTTTGTCGCTGTCCTGTCTTTGGCCGCCAAGGCATGCGTCATGTTCGCCGTCTGCGCGAGCCTGAGCCAGTGGAAGTGGATCCTGTACGCCGGAGCCGGCCACATCTTGATCGACTTTGAACGCATCGACTCTGCCAGTCGCGGACCGCTCGGGAGTGCCGCTCTACTTGTGACGACCTGGAAGGGCGGGTAAGAGAAGAGAACCACTTCTCTTGAAGTCTACTTTGCTGAATGTGTCGTCACAGTCTTGTTGTTCGCCTGGGGGCTATCGTGACACTCTTGGCTTTGGCGTTGGACCCCTTTACGCAGCAAATAATCCAACTTCGCCAGGACTTGGTTTTCACACCGGCCGAACCATACGCCCAGAACACACGGATCGGCGCTTCCGCATACTACTGGGACGGCAATGTTATCAAGGACAACTCAACGCCGCTGACAAACGGAACCGATGGAAGCCTCAACACCTACGAAACCTCGACCCCGCCTTACATGCAAGCCGCGGTGCTCGACGGGCTGTCCAGGTCGATGAGCCAGCTCCAGGCTCAGACCCCGTACTCATGCCCGACGGCTGACTGCCGCTGGCCGGTGTTCAACTCGCTGGCCGTGTGCAGTCGTTGCAGCAACACCACGTCGCAGATTTCTCGGATCCCCGGCAACTCTATTGATCTATACAGGGCATTCGCCGCCCAGTACGATGGCCGAGGGATGCTAGGTAATAACGCCACCGCGTTCCGTCTTCCAACGGGCCAATTCATCGCAAATATGGATGGCTATATGGAGGACACCACAGGATCCAACGGTGCTCCACCCTGTCTGATGAGCGCTTCTGGAACCGGTATAGCGAGCAAGACACTATCTTTGCAAGAGAGTAATACCCTCATCTGGTCGACGAATATCCTGGCGATAGCCCCGCCCCATAACGACGAGTTGAACATGACCACACCTGTTGGAGGGAAGTGGCCAGACATGCCTCTTGTATCAAATGAATGCGGCCTCTATTGGTGTGTCAACCAATACGAGTCCGCGGTTAGCAACAATACCCTATCAGAACGCGTCACTGAGCAGGAGACGACACTCGACATGCCCAAAGACGGCTTCGCTTGGCCTTTTGACGGACTCCAGTTCAACCAAACAGTCGTGGACACCGGCATCTGGCCTGGTCAAATCGGGCTGTGCGACACAAAGCAAGAGGGGGGCTTCGGCTGCCTCAACGTGTCGATAGAGGCAGTCCTCTCACTCAACAACTATTTCCAAACCTTGCTGGCCACGGACGCGACGCCAATGAACGACACCGCCGGCCTGGGCCCAAATGCACTCCACAACGAGGGCGGGTTGATCGACGGTCGATTCGTTCCAACCGCTCTCGCAGGCATATGGACGGACGCCAAGCAGGATCTGCAAGCGACGTTCGAGGCTCTGGCACTGAGTGTAACCAACGCTATAAGGTCTTCCGCGATGGGCACTCAGGACACTGCGTCGACCGTGACGGGGAGCACGGAGGGGACTATTGGCAGGACACAGACCCTATTCGACATGCAGTGGCAGTGGATGGCGCTGCACTGCACGGTTTTCGTCCTTGCCATTGTCTTTCTATTGCTCACTGTGACGCACCCTGGGCGGAACAGGGCGCCGCTGTGGAAGAGCAGTGCTCTTGCCATCTTGGCATGCGGTGCGAATGCTGCAGAGGTCTTGGATGGTGCGGAGACGATGCCGCAGATTCGCGATAGGGCGAAGAAGGGCGAGGTTGTGCTGTTCGACGGGACCGTTGCGGGACAGGAGAGGGAACATGATGTTGATCAGAAGCTTTTAGGGTCGGGCGCGGTAAAGCCTTGATGAAGAAGTTCTTTTGTGATTTTATTATTAGATGTACTGTTTCATTTGATGATATCTACCTCCTTGCCACATTCCCGCATCCATCCTTTCAGGATCTCTCACAGCAATCCCATTCTGCGGGGTAATCATCGGGAGATACTGTCATGACACGAGCAACTGTTGAAGTAGCACTCGGCACTCACTTTTATCACCTTCTCCAGACCGTGTCATGCACTAGTCCAATGCCAGGAGTGACCGGAAGGGCTAATGACGTGCAAGGGAATCATCTTACGCCAAAATTCAAACTGTCTTCTCTCACATAGAGTCTGTGAGACTTCTTAATCATTTGGCGCGTGGTGATTAGTATTTCACGTCTGACTGTTCTCATCCCTACTTTCGCCTTGTGCAGGATCAGACAACAACACACTCCATGGCCGAATTTCCAAAACTAGCGTTATCGGGTATTAAAGTTATCATTGTAGGGGCAGGCTTTGCGGGACTAACGGCGGCCATTGAATGCGACCGGAAAGGCCATTCGGTCATCTTACTGGAAAAGGTCGACGAGCTGAAGCCACTCGGAGACGTCATCAGCTTCGGACAGAATTCGACACGGATCTTCAAGAAATGGCCCGGTGTGTTTGAGGAGTTACAACCAATCATCCACAAGAGCGACCACATCAATTACATTAGCTGGGAAGGAAGATATGTGACGACCCAGCACTGGGATTCCGAGTGGGCTAGATGGGGCCAGAGTATCAACGGCCATAGATCAGAGATCCACCGCATCGTATTCGAACATGCGAAGGCTAGAGGTATCGACATCCGCATGGGACAGAGTGTGACGGACTATTTCGAGGATGGCAACGGAGCGGGTGTAGAAGTCAACGGAGAGCGTTTGAATGCCGACATTGTGATTTCAGCAGAGGGCGTCCGGTCTCGTGGGAGAAAAATTGTCCTAGGCTTCGACGAGAAGCCTCAACCTTCTGGGTATGCTGTGTTTAGGACCTGGTTTGCTGCAGATGAGGTGGCGAAGAATGAAAAGACCAAACATCTCGTGGAAAATGGTGACTCGCACAACTGTTGGATTGGACAAGACGTCCATTTCATTGCCGCTGGAGTTAAAGATGGGAAGGAAATCAGCTGGGTATGTACTCATAAAGATGATGGCGACATTGAGGAGAGCTGGCAGTTCCCTGGCCATATAGAAGACGTGCTCAAAGTCTTGCAGGGCTGGGATCCAGTGGTCCTTGAGCTGGTCAAAATGACGCCAAAAGACCGCCTATTTGACTACAAACTTGTGTATAGAGACCCCTTACCTACTTTTATCTCCCCAAAAGCCCGAATAGCTCTCATTGGAGACACTGCACACCCCTTTCTTCCGACTTCAATCCAGGGAGCGAGCCAGGCTATGGAAGACGGCGTGACTCTGGCTGCTTGTCTCGATATTGGCGGCAAGGAGCGTGTTACAGAGGCACTTAGAGTGTATGAAAAAATCAGGTACGAGCGAGTGCACAAAATTCAGGCCACTGGTGTGTCTACTCGAGAAAGTTGGCACAAGGCAGACTGGGACGTCATCTGGAAGAACCCGCAGTCACTACATCTAGCAAGACAGGACTGGATTTTGGACTTCGACTGCGAAGCGAATGCCTACGACTCCTACGAAACCTCAAAACAGAGTCTGAACACACTCGATAATTAGGATTGTGGATGGCAAACTATTGGCTGTAGTTTAATTATTGCCTCTGCTACATAATCGAACTCGATGCAATTTTTATCCTTCCTGCTCAATGCATATGACGAGACGATGTAGCTTGACATTTGATTATTCGTACCAGATACAAGAGGCTAAGACAGCCTTTAGAGTCTCAAACATATCTTATTAATGTTTTTATAGTGGGAAGAGAGTATGACTATTTGATACTCTTGCGAAACGTAGAATATCGTTTCACTTACTCCTAAACTCGACTCCCGTTAGACATCTTGTGTAATTCATCTTCTATAGTCTGCCATGTCCTAGGCGAGAACACGCCCATGATCCAACAATTCCCCAATGCATCTTTTCCAATTATGTTGAAGACATTCCGCGCCAGCGGGCTACGAGTGATTGATGCGCCATAGAAGAGCACAGGCTTCCCAGGTCCGAAACTCCTCTTCAACGGATGGTCGCCGGTCTTGACGACAGCTGCAGTGAAGTCTGCCACTTCGAAAATATTCGACTTGTCCCAACTCGTACACGTGATCATCGTGCCCCTCGAGCTTCCCAGAGCCAGAGGTATTCGCCCCGCAGAAGCCATCGTCTCGCGGTTTGTTCGCATTATTGCGCGAATTTGACCGTCGGTGGTTTGTGTCTTGATAGTGGCCCGCAAGGCCAAAGCCGTACGTCCTAGCGGCTGAGATAGAACGTCGCCTGCAGTAAGTACTGTCCAGCCAGGTAGAAATATGTTCCCCATGTAGGCGGCTGACGAGTCGAAAACAGACTTGAGCCTCCCACGCAAATCAAACATGTTCACAGCCGCAACGGGACGTGTCGAATTTTGCCCAAAAGAATGGCAGACCATCTTGGTGGCCCAAGCAGTGAGCACATCACCTTCACTAACAAACGAATCCTGCCCAATGTGATTATGCTCCTCAGCAATATCGCGAAGAGCTCCTTGTCGGAGAGAAGCAACTGTTTTCGCTGGCAAGCATATGGAGCGCATCTGGTGCTTTGGAGACCATAATATCTCCCACACAAAACGAAGCATGAAGCCGAGAACGCTAATGCCGGTAAGTAGCTTGTCAGCAACCACCCAGCGCTCTTCCATTGGAGGCTTTGGTCCAGTTCCAATGGAATCGAGGGGGTCCTCATGCACGCCTTTCAGGGGTTCAACGTCTTCCTCTCGTCCAGCGAGAACTGTCGACCAATTTCTAACAAGTGCACGAAGCCCCATCGCGTCGGACATGGTGTGTAGCCATACAATTGTCACGAGAGCCGCATCATTGAATGAGACGACATGGAGTGACAATTGCGGGTGGTCTGTGTGGATGTAGTCACCGAGACTTGCAGGGGCCCCTTTGCGGATTGCCAGCGACTCAAACGCGTCAGCGGGCTCCTGTATGGACGGATCGTCCGTTGGTTTCGGCAGCTTTGACGCCAAAGGATGCTCATTGACGTTGACATCGAAGGTCTCGTGAGAATATGCAACAGCTGGACGTTCAGGTGTGAATTTCTCTGGGACGTGAAGCTCGAGCTTCCCCTTATCCTGTGATATGGTGTCAGGGGTCAAGTGGCCGAGAAATGCTCGCTAAATAAGCGTCAAAACAGGGCAATGCTCACTCACGTTAAGCCTCAACCGCGCTCCAATCTTCTTCCAGTCTCCGAGCTCCGCAAGCCGCGCAAGAGCAGCAGCTAGTTTGTCTGCATCAAGTACATCGTCAAATACCATAGTCCAAGTGCATATGTATGTGCGGTTCATGTCCGTGTCATCGAGAAAATGCATTGGCAGCACCTTGTCCGTAGGGATCCGGGCCGGGGCCTTTGGAGGGGCTTTGAGGCCGACAAGTCCTCTCAGGCGTGTTAAAGTCAGCATTTTGAGAGCCTATGTCAACCTGAATACAGCGATGAAGCCCCCCGAGTTTCCACGCGTCGAGCAAAGCTTATATACGGAGGCATTAACTTCTTTAGCTCATAAATTGCGCATCCTCAATCCTTCCACTCTCTTTTCTAAGAGAAATGCTGTGCCACGCTTAGTGACAACTCATGTTAAAGGGGAAGCACTCTGCTTACAGGATGCCCCGCCCTGTCTAATCTCTGCTGTCAGGGCAAATCACATCGCCTGACTACCCCGGAATCACGGAGGTTAGAGAGACCCACCACCTTGGTGCAAGCTGAGACAGCCTGCACTCACTGGACTGACGTAGGAGGATCGGCATCTCACCTGCTGAACCAAGTGTAGAATAGCGCTGGCTCCCACAAGGACACTCGACCAAACAAGCACTTCCTCATATCGCTGAGCCTAAGAACTTCAGTGAATGAAACCAGACAATGAGAAATGGCACCGTTGCAAGACCCTCCGACATCTCAAGGGCCGGCTGAAACGGAGCCACTCCTGGCTGCGGTGTCCAGGCTACCGGTCCGCGGCTCTGATTCGCCGTCAAGCCAACCGTACGGCAACGACGAAGATGGCTGTCTTCTCTCTTCGCAGTCAGATTTGGGGGTCAACAAGACAGCCGAGACTAGCTTTCACTTCCGTGTTGTGGCAACGATGTTTTCTTTCGTTGTCTTGGGCTTGGTCGTCTCGACCATCGGCGTAATGGTCCCGTACCTAGAAGAGTATTACGGTCTCAGCGACCTTCACGTTTCTCTCATATTTCTTGCTGGCCCTGTGGGATATCTGCCTGCAGCACAGCTTAACACCAGTATCCACAGGAAATTTGGACAACGAGGCATTGCTACGATTGGGCCATGCGTCATTCTCTTGTTTACCGTCGCGGCTGCTGCCCACCCTCCATTTGTGCTGCTCCTAGTTGCTTTCCTAGCCGGAGGCTTTGGCGAAGGCCTCCTTGATGGGTCTTGGTGTGCCTGGGCTGGTGCAATGGAGAATGCCAACATGATCTCGGGTTTGCTTCATGGCTCCTTCTCTTTGGGAGCCGCTGCGGGACCGTTCCTCGCAAGCACATTGATCACTACGAGGCATTATCCATGGTGGACTTGGTATTGCGTACTCGTAGGTCGCTTCTACCCTGCTTATCATCGGTTCCGCTGCTGATGATACCTATTCAGGCTGTTGCTTCTGTTGTTGAACTTATAGTCCTCTTTCCTGCGTTCAGGTTTGAGAGCGCAGAGAAATATCTCAAGAGCAGACAAGAGGGTCTTGTGCAAGAAGCTACAAGTCACACCAAAGAGGCGCTGAAGCATCGTATCACATGGATGTCTGCTGTCTACCTGCTATTATATGTAGGCACAGAATCCACAATATCTGGGTGGGTCGTACTGTTCATGACAAGAGCGCGTCACACAAGTCCCCGCATGGCTAGTATAACCTCTTCCGGCTTTTGGACTGGCACTGCGCTCGGAAGGCTCACCCTTGGATTTGTCACTGACAGAGTTGGAGTGACCTTTGCAGCCGCCGTGTATCTCATCTGCTGTATGACTCTTGAGCTCGGGTTCGCCTTTGTTGACAGTCCTCTACCCTCCGCCGTGCTCATTTCATTGCTTGGCTTTTTCATGGGGCCTCTATTCCCCTCGAGTATCGTTGTCTTGACCCAACGACTGCCTCGAGAGCTACACATCGCGGCCGTATCATTTGTCGCATCGGTGGGCCAAGTTGGAGGGGCGCTACTACCTTACGGCCTTGGGGTGATGATCGAACTGCTGGAAATTCGTGTATTCCCAGTGATCATTATCACACAACTAGCCTTGACTTTTTTAGTCTGGATAGTGATATCGAAATTGACATGAGATTCGAGACTCCACCGGGCGAGAGTAGATCGGGGGCTTGAATACTAAATAGAAGAAGGTTTCGCAAAGTTCACTCCTCGGCTCGGCTTACTCATCTTTGGCGCCTCACAGGTGCCGTACAACACCCGCATAGGCCTCGAGAATGCGTAGTTGCATAGTACATCTTCCTTGAATACCTCGCAGTCAAAGAATATCAGCCATTGTTGAGCATCTCTTGCGCGGCTCTGCCTACCGCTTGGCATGGCAGGTAAGTTGTGGGTGGGGAGCGTCACAGGCGCTAAACCCCCCGCTCTCCGGAGCTGGAGAGTTTCAGGGTGACACAACTGCCGGGCCGATCCTGATTGACTTTGATCCGATCCGTCCCTTCCACTTCTATCAGAGGTTCTCCCACTTCATAAACTGTCAAAAGAATCCAAAATAATATCAAGAAAAGCGCTTTCCAAACCACATCAATCTTCACCTTCGGAGCAAGAGATGGCCTGTGGGTCTTCCTGCTGCGCGCCGCCACCGGGCGACGTCGACGTCCAGCCAGCGGCTCCGCCTCCGGTTGCGGACGACAACGACAACAACAGCTGCTGTGAGCCCGAAGCTGATGATGCTCATGATGATGCCTGCAGCGACGGCTGTTGCGCCAAAGATGATCCAAAGGAACAGGCTGAGGATAAGTGCAGCGTCGAACGTCCTCAGACTAGCTGCCAGGATGCTTGCTGCAGTGCAGCAGCGGACAAGCCAGCGGCCGAAGAGGACGCCTCAGTGGCGGATGACTGCTGCGTGCCGACAACCATAGAGAGCAGCTGCGCGGGCGGTTGTTGCTCGACGCCAAAGGACCCGAAGACGGATGGAGATATCTGTGCCTCTCAGCCTGCTACTGCTGTATCTGATGAGGCCAGCAGTTGTGATAAAGTTTGCTGTTCCGACGACGCTAAACAAGCAGCCGTCGTAGACACTTGTTGCGCTCCCAAGCCTGTCACCACTACCAAGGACAGTGATTGCAAGAAAGGCTGCTGCTCTGAGCCCAAGGCACCGGAACCAGAGGACCCGCAGAACCCAAGCTGCTGTCAAGGCAAGCAGAGCCCCTGCTGCGACACCTCTTGTATCGACCGCATCGCCCTTCGAGAATGCGACAGCGACAGCAAATCCTCAAGCGAGCGCTCTAGATGTGGTGAGCGCCAGGCCGGAAAGCCCTGTGGACAGCATTCTCGAGCTGCTCGCGATAAGTACGCCTCTACTCTGGACGCCATCGGTTGCATTTGCCGCGCGTTGCTGGCGCTGGGGCAGGACTCCTGCTGCTTGCCTCGCGAGCGCACGTCAATTGTCCGCAAACGATGCTCGAGGAAACGTCTGTCTCCGCGCGCTTCTGTTGACTCGTGCTGTGCATCGGGCAAAAGCACGGCTGTCGCTTCGAGCAATCTTCGGCCACGGTCAACGAGAGGGTGCGGTGTTGATGCATCGAAGTCGGGCCCTTCGACTGGTGGATCCTGTACCGATTCCTGCTGTGCTGACGGTCCAACTGTACCAATCCAAGCATCCCAAAAGAGTCTTCCATCTTTCACCCAGGGCATTGATCTGGAGAAGGGACTCTCTGGAAAAGAGCATGTAATCCTCACAATCTCCGGTATGACGTGCACCGGCTGCGAGACAAAATTGCAGCGTACGCTCGCCACTGTGACTTCGGTGACCAATCTCAAGACGAGCCTGATACTTGCTCGCGCCGAGTTTGATATCGACCTCTCGGCTGGGTCCGTGGTCGAGGTCATGAAACACCTCGAAAGAACTACCGAGTTCAAATGCGAGCGTGTGCTGAACCAAGGATCGAGTGTTGATCTCATTGTGCCGGGCAACGCCGGCGAATTCGCAAAGCAGGACTGGCCCGTTGGTGTCACAGATATAACTGTGCTGGATGGCAAGACGATTCGTGTTGCTTTTGATGCCAAAATCATTGGGGCGCGCGACCTCGTCGAGAAAGGGTGGGGTATATCATTGGAGCTCGCCCCCTTGCGAGCGGATCCGAATCTTGAAGCTGGCAGTAAGCATGTTCGTCACGTTGGATACATGACATTGCTTTCGATTATCCTCACCATCCCCGTGCTTGTATTGGCCTGGGCACCTCTTCCAGATCATGACATAGCCTACGGCTCAGCTTCCTTGGCTTTGGCGACAATTGTTCAGGTCGTCATCGCGGGACCTTTCTACCCCAAGGCTCTGAAGAGCTTCATCTTCTCAAGGATGATCGAGATGGACTTGTTGATCGTTCTGAGCACAAGTGCCGCTTATATCTTCTCCGTCGTGTCGTTCGGTTATCTGGTTGCACACAAGCCGCTGTCGACTGGCGAATTCTTTGAGACAAGCACACTTCTGGTCACGCTTATAATGGTCGGTCGATATGTTGCTGCTCTGGCTCGGCAGAAAGCAGTAGAGTCGATCTCAATTCGCTCCTTGCAGGCGTCAACTGCCATTCTTGTGAACGATGACGCGACTGAGAAAGAGATCGATAGCCGCCTACTCCAGTATGGTGATGTCTTTAAGGTCGTGCCAGACTCTAGAATTCCAACCGATGGTACCGTCATTTCGGGATCATCAGAGATCAACGAGTCCATGTTGACCGGAGAGTCATTGCCGGTTGAGAAGCATCCCAAGTCTCAAGTCATTGCTGGCTCGGTCAATGGTTCAGGAACGCTCGTCGTCCGACTGACGCGACTTCCCGGCGACAACACCATCAGCACGATTGCCGGTATGGTAGACGGCGCTAAGCTGTCGAAACCAAAAATCCAAGCCATCGCCGACCGTGTTGCCTCATATTTCGTGCCAGTGGTCGTCTCACTCACAATCATCACGTTTGCCATCTGGATTGCTGTGGGCGTCGCCGTGAGACACCAATCCGGCTCGGAAGCAACTATCCAGGCCATCACATATGCCATCACAGTCCTCATTGTCTCATGCCCCTGTGCCATTGGACTCGCAGTGCCAATGGTTGTTGTCATCGCCTCCGGCGTCGCAGCTGAGCGAGGTGTCATTTTCAAATCCGCTGACAGTATTGAGATTGCATACAAGACATCGCATGTCGTTTTTGACAAGACTGGAACGCTGACCCAGGGGAAACTGACTGTTGCCATGGAGAAACACACCAGTGACAATGTTGGCTTGACCAAGTCGCAGCTCCTTGGCCTCATTGGCAGCATCAAGCATCCTGTGTCTGCCGCAGTCTCCGCGCATTTACGATCCAACAATGTGATGGGACTGAAAGTATCGGACCCAAAGTCTTTGACTGGCAAAGGAGTGGAAGGGACGGCATCAGGCCTCATCCTCCGAGCAGGTAACTCTCGATGGCTGGGCCTCTCGTCTGACCCCATTGTCCAGTCCATCCTCTCAAAAGGATACACGGCATTCTGCTTCACTGTCAACGACTCACTCGTGGCAGTCTTTGGACTTGAGGATTCTCTCCGGGCCGACGCGCGTGACACCGTCGACAAGCTTCACGCAACCGGCATCTCAGTCCATATCGTCTCGGGCGATGATGATGGCGCCGTCCGCTCGATTGCCGCACAGCTCAATATTCCCGACGCGAACATCCGTTCTCGCTCCACACCCGCAGACAAGCAAGCTTACATCCAAACGCTGCTCGACACTGCCACGACAGCTCGCACTCTACCCTTCGGCAAGCAGAAATCCAAACCACCCGTCGTTGTCTTCTGTGGCGACGGCACCAACGACGCCGTAGCACTTGCGCAGGCCACCATTGGCGTGCACATGAACGAAGGCACAGACGTGGCGCAGTCTGCCTCGGATGTGGTATTGATGCGGCCTGCCTTGTCCGGGATCCTCACTATGATTGCCGTCAGCAAGAAGTCCATTCACCGCATTGCGTTCAACTTTGGCTGGAGCTTCGTCTACAATCTGTTCGCCATCCTTCTAGCCGCCGGGGCCTTTGTCCATGCGCGTATCCCGCCTGAGTTTGCTGGGCTGGGTGAGCTGGTCAGCGTGCTGCCTGTGATTGCGGCCGCTGTGTTGCTGCGCTGGACGAAGATCTAGGCAGCCATGGAGCGACAATCGATAGGCCTTTCGTCGGTGTCATCGCTGTCACTATCATGTTCAACACATGCAGATGATTCGCCATACTTGACCCGCTGCGGAGGAAGGCCGGGAAGGCTGTGAGAGATGATTTCACTTCACTACACGAGGTTTCAACACCTGAATTGAGATGAGCTGTGGGATATTAGCGCTGGATACTGTCAATTGTGCCTGTGTGTTAAGCTAAATCTCGCTTTGCGTATGCGAGTCCTTTTCTTCACTTCTTGTGCTGTCAGAGATGGACCAGGCGAGCCACTACTGTCATTTCAGTATTATCCGATCCAAATATATCAAGATCGCAACAGGTGCCTTATCCGTTCGATCACCTTGAACAAAACAATACGCGTGTGCCCCCCCTTGACTTCTCGTTAAATCGCAAGTCGTAGACTGAGGATAAAGGCATATCGGGGATGTTATAGAAGAAAATACGTAATAATATCGTTGTCATTTCGTAGAGAGAGCGAGTCGAGATACGTGAGCCCAGCTTGGTGGGATCTCACAGACACATTTAAAACGGCGCGTCACCCCTCACTAGAACCTTGATGGGTATCTAGGAACAATGCCAGAAATTGTTTTCTCCAAACGTCTAGTAAACGATGTCGTCTGGACAAGAATATAATTAACACTGCTGCCGATTGATTCGCTTTGTGGTACTCTCTAACAGTACGTCAACTAGTTCTCGTAAGTGGCTGAAGACCCAACTCCTCCTGTCTTTGCCGTGATGCCTCGCTCAACAATTGGAAGCTTAGACCAATGCGCGCTCCAAGTACCGTTGATCACATCACTTTACAAGTTGAAACACGACCCTTATCATCAAGACTGACCCGGAATGGATGACCATTACTTACATACCGCAAGAACATAGCATCTGAAGTGTCACGGCATCCCCCGAGCGACAGCATGGGCTCCGTGGCTGACATAATGGACGGGCAAGGCGGGCTCGCTAGCGGGGAACAACATCCATTAGGCTAACCAGTCACTGACTCTAACTGCGCCGCATGGTGAAGTGCCACTTCGAGGGCGCATTCACTACCACATATCGCTTGGCGAGAACCGACAGACGAGACCGACGCGCGAACACCGCGAGGTTTGCACAAATCCGCCGACTCGGTGTCCCTCCGTCTCACGGACCTTTCATCCGTCCCGCGACTGCATCGGCGTTTCGATGCGATAGCCTTACCGATGAGCGCCGAGGCGCCTCCGGAGCCGGAACCGAACGGCCGAAGATATCGGTCCAAGAAACAGCGGCCCTGCGATGTCTGCCGCTCGAGGAAGATCCAGTGCAAGCTACAGGGCAATGAGGCGGTTTGTGAGATGTGCAAGAAGCTGGGGCGGAGGTGTACATATGTTCTGGGGCCGTTGACGAGGAAGTATCGCGGATGCGTCACGAGCGACAATGCCAGTAGGACGGAGACGGTGCCTCTGCAGGCCGGCGAACTACAGGAGGACTTGACGAGGACGGATATACCTATACAGAGCAACGCCGATCCTCAAAACGTGGAGGTCGACCCGTTCTGGCTGCCGCCGGATCTGCGATGGAGCCCGAGAGCGTTCTCAAACCTGTTGGCTGTGGACTGGTCTGCCGTGGATTTCCCACTCGGTACGAGGCTTGCTAAAGAAACGTGTCTTGATGTTGGAGCTGACAATCTTACAGGAACAAGTCCGATCGATAGCAGTCGACAGTTCCCGGGACCTCGAGCCGACGACGAGAGCGCACCATTCCCGAATGCTACCTCACCGGCTAACAACTTTCGCCCTAACTCCAACTCTGGAGGCACCACACATACAGTGATGACGACTGAGTCTCCTTCAACCGCGCCCGATAACGATAGTCAGAGAAGTCCCAATGTTGTGGATTTGGGCATACAGCATGCTCGCAATGGCTCCAATCAATACGCCATAGCTAGTGCGTCTCATATGGATTTGGTGCGTAATGGGACACAGAATTTACCCCATGAATTCTCTCTATACTCGAGGAACGGGTATTCCAGTCAATTGATCGGCTTGTCGAGCGAGTCAGACCCATTTCTCATTCGACATTACTATCACAACGAGCACGACACTTACACAATGTACCGACTACATTTCCGCAAGGTCGTGGACGATGCTTCTTTACCACAGTACCAAAATGGCATGGTGGAAGATCAACCTCATATGTCTCTTGGACCGACACCAATCCAATTCGTAATGGCAGATGAGGAAATTTGGGCAGATGATGTGAAAGCCACCGAAGCTATGTTATCGGGAAATCACACGGAACAGGGTGACATGGAACTTCTCGGCAAATTGGTGCCTCCTGATTTAGAAGCCCGGTTGCTGAGATTGTAAGTTGGCGTACCATGCAAATAATGATACATGTTTCCTGACAAGACACAGATATCTACAATTCGTTCATCCCCGATATCCCGTGCTTTCACTGCGAGACCTCGAACGCATGCAGGATGCCAAATGCAGCCTGTCAGACCCAATTGGCCTTCGTAGTGCGGCGTATGCCTTGGCGGCGCCCTTCACGTTTTTGGATGACGAGTTAAGCGTCTCCAAAGGCTACCTACAGGTGCCCACAGAGGACCTGTGGGCTATTGCACATCGAAGCTTCCAGCGTTCGAGTTGTATATCACATCTATCTTCTCTACAGCTCTGTTTACTTCTCCTACAAATGCCGCCCCGTAGCTATGTTGCAGCAGAGCCACCGAGCTTCTGGGCATTATCGTGCTCGGCCCTAGCACTGGCCGAGAGCCTAGGCGTTAATGTCGACTCTTCTGACTGGCGTCTACCTCGGCAGGAGATCATCCTGCGAAGAAGGCTGTGGTGGTTTACCTTTACGACACACACCTGGCTGGCGCTCGTGTCTGGAAGACCGTCCCACATCAATGATGCGAACTGGTATGTTTCGCCTCTTACATCAGCCGACTTTGAAGGCGAGGCGCATCGGGATCCGGGTATTCAGGCGTCGATACTAGAGCAGATACCGATTTGCCTAGCACAATGTGAGCTAAGCGTGATCGCTGCAGATGTATTGAAGGAATTCTAGCAAGTTAAATCTCGTCCTCTTCAATCTTGACCAAGCTAACCTGTGTTTTCAACATAGCACATTGAGGGCTACCAGAGAATCCCTCACGCTCAGCGCTCTGCTAAGCCGTGCACAACCCCTCCGAACTCGCATTGAGAGCTGGCGGCAGACTCTCCCATTACTCTCCAAACCTGCCTCCGATCTAAATGAAGAAGAATTTGAACTCGGTGCTCCTTTACGAATATCGCACCTTACGGTAGAAATTCTCATTTTCCGTGCACTCATCCGGCCTCTCAGTTTTGGGGCCATATCGCCAGCGGAGACGTCTCGAGAACCGATATCAACCATTTTTGAGAATAGCTACACATGTGCCAAAGTCGCCATGGACATTGTTTCCTCTCTTCGAGCCAAGCATTTTGCTAGCTTCTGGCCGCCTTGTAAGTTGTGGAGATCTGAAGCTTTTCGGGCGGTAAACGTCCAGCTGCGCTAACACTTACTTTTTCAGATGTACGATATCAACTTTGCTATGTATCTACATTCATAGTGATGAACCTGGCACAATCGGCAACGAAGGAAATGGCCATTCGAAACATGTCACTTCTGAGTAAGTGGCGAGATACGCTGCGAATTCAAGCACGAGCGTGGCCGCTTGCTAGGCTTGCTACCATGAGACTTGATGCCATCTTCTGGAGAGGCTTATCAGCAGCTATTCATGGTGCAGGACCAGAAAGCCCTGCGGTGCTCCTTGTCAAAGAACTAGGTATCAAGGGATCTGGGGAGAGGTGAACGCCTAGATGTCTATTGGCAATGGATTTCTACATATCTGGCTTTGAGACGTACGATTCATTCACGTATTGTCTGATGGTCAGCAACCTCTTACAGCGTGCTAACGTTTTGTTGATGCATCCTTACATCAACCACTACCTATGTACTGCTCCGGAGAATTGGATCCTGATCTCAACGCTAGTATCACCACTTGAGCAACGGCCATTGAAAGAGGTACAAACTCTACCTCCTCGTCGCATCATAGCGAACAACGGCCCCCAACAATACTTGAGCGCCTATTATACAGTCTTCCGGGCTGCAATACTCGTCCGGGGTATGACTCATGCCGTTTCTTGTCGGCGTGAAGATCATTGCAGTAGGGCACCTCTTGCTCACATGGCAACTGTCGTGGCCAGCTCCGCTGAGCATATGTCTCCAAAGCTTGGAGTCTGAAGTCGCTCCGGATAGCTGGGAGACGGTCTCCTCCGTTGCCTGTTCGATGGCTTTGATGCAGTCCGCGTGGAATTCAACAGCGGTGTTCTCAGTCAGTGTTGTCCAGTTTACCTCTACGCCACGCTCGCAGTCCTCTTTGGCAATCTTAGCGAAGGTCTCGCGGCACCTGGAAACCATCTCGGCCAGCTTCTCGTTGCTTGGATGGCGGAAGTCCAGCGTGAACTGGACCGTGTGAGCCATGGTGTTCACACTACCCGGTTGTGCACGGAAGATGCCAGTTGTGACGAGCCCGGATAGATCCTTCGCAATCGCATTCGACGCCGCGATCATTCTAGCGCCAGCTAGGAGTGCATCCTTGCGGGCGGACATAGGCGTCGTTCCCGCATGGCTGTCTCGACCCTTTATCTCGACCTCATACCAGCTATACGCCTGTGCGCCCGTGACGACACCGATTTTCTCCTTCTCGTCTTCCAAGATAGGGCCCTGCTCGATATGTAGCTCGAAGTGGGCGCCGATCGGCTGTGCCTTGTACGAAGCTGGAATCTCGCCGAGGAAACCGATGCGCTCAAGCTCCTCTTTCATCGACCGTGGAGTAGACCCGTGGCTCGGCGGCGTTACTTCTCGGCAGTTCCAGGCTGTCTCAAGGGGGATTGACCCGGCCCATACGCCGGAGGAGACGGTGACCATTGGGAAGCGTGCGCCTTCTTCACTACACACAATTGTTAGACGTACATATACTACTGATACCCAAAGGTATATCAATGCATACGAACTTTGTCCAGTTCACCAGCCCAACGGGACCTTCTGTCTCGTAGTTATTCTCGTGTAATGTCCTTAGAGCCTCCAGACCAGCCATGACGCCCAGAATACCATCGTATCGCCCGCCCGTCGGTTGTGTATCAAGATGCGACCCCATCATGACCGGCGCCAGCTTGTTTGACTTGCCCGGACGCACCGCGAACATATTGCCCATCTGATCTACCGTCACCGTGCAGCCGATCGCCTCAACCTGCTCGGTCAGCCAGTGTCGTACTTTCTTGTCGTCATCGTTCAAGGAGAGTCGGGCCATTCCCGTCTCTGTGTAATGGCTGTGGGGCTAGTTAGCTACCTGAGCAAGCAATCGGTCGGCTGCCATGCATGGATGTCAGACACGTACTCGCCATACGGATGCGCCTTTCCGAACTCGCAAGTAGAATGGATAGAGTCCATCAATCTCGGTCCATTGACGCGCAGGGCATTGTAGTCTCGAGGGCCGGACTTCGTAGAGTATCCCGCCGCAACCCCCTCGGCCCTCTCTCGCAGAACATCGACCGTCATTCTGAAAAGCGGTTGGCTGGGGCGGCTGGCTCGAAGCTGGGATATCAAATTCAAAGACGACCGTAACCTCATTAAATTTACGTATATTGTACATGAAAGGAGCACTACCAGCAATGGGAGACTGAAGTGCTAATGAAGTGCTTTAGACATTTGACCAGGTCAAGCTCGTCCTGTCGCTTTACTACGCTTCTTCTTGCGCCCTAAGCCGCGACTCACCATAGCTTTGATACCCCGCCTAAGCTACTAGGCCAACTGTGAATGGAGCACTCCAACAATGGCCGGTCAAATTGATGCAGTGAAACCTGAACTGAATGCTATTGGGCGGCCATCGTAGGGCATTGCGTGTGGAGCTGTGCCTTAGATCGGGCGTTTAAGAGCTTTATCGGCCGTCTTGACGCGGGCGCCCGCTCACGGCGAACTCGAGCCCCACGGGAGAGACGCTACCGACTCTCGAGGGAGCTTTGCTAGTGCAAAGGTTGCTGATAAGGGCGAACGACTCGGAGTTTTACATATCTGCATGCTTATCGTGGCACACTGCTGCTCACGATTGGACATGATTGATAGTCTACTTATGCAAATTAGTCCAATCAGTTAATACAAGGAAATGGTTTGGGACGACGTAGCGTCTGACGGCTCTTCATTGAGCTCCATACAGCAACTGTATTCAACAACGTTATGCCAGGATACTGGATCTAGTCGTAGGCAGAAAAGTAAAAGGCGTCATAATCCTCGATGTTGTTCAATCGTGATTTCATTTCGCTACCTAACTGCTAGAGTAATTTGCTACATGACTGATACGGCCACTCGAACCCTCCTGCATACCATAGTACATATGAGATCCTGTCACTCGTCATCTACGCCTTTCCAGCTGCCTTCTTCTGCACCGCCAGCCATTCCGTGGCTATCTTTTCGCACGTGCAGAACTCAACAGCATCGCCGAATCCCCGGAGCCAGCCAAGGAAGCGATCAATCATGCCGATGATGTGAGCCAGACCACTGACATCGGGATGCACCAGAAGCGGGAACATGAAATCGGCGCTCTCGTTGCCCTCCTTGCTGTTCTCCCACAGCCACATGAACTTGTCCTTCCACATCTGCTCCACGACTCGTGTGGACACATAGCCCATGCTGTTGGACAGATGGGGGAGGTACATGAGCGGCATCATGTCCTCGTTGTACCAGCCGCAAGGAAGCTCGACCAGGGGGTGCTGGCCATCGGGGTAGGCTTGTGATGCGATCGGCGAAGGCTCCAGCCACGTAGAAGCCGGCTTAGACCAGTCTATAGTCTTGATAGGGGGGTCGGCGGGGGTGAAGTAGGGTTGCGAATCGTGATGCATCAGAGATGAGTCGTAGAGAAACTCGTGTTCACGCAACAGCTTGACGGTAGTCTCTCTGATCGTGTACATGGGTGCTCTGTAGCCGCGGGGCTTCTTGCCGGCGAGCTTTGTAGCGACATCGATGCTATTGAGCATGTGTTAGTAAAGCAGGGTTAGGAGATGGCAACAGTTACGGACCACTTCAGAAGAACATCTCGCTCTTGCTCCTCGGTCATCTGGTAAATGCCTTCGTGGGCATATCCGTGAAGGCCAATTTCGGCCCCAGACTCAAGCACTGCCTTCGCCGCAGCAGGGAAGGTCTCGGTCGTGTGGCCAGGGATGAACCAAGTCATCTTGTCCGCGATTCCGTTCTTCTTGAACATGTCCAGCAGACGATATACACCAACTTGTCCAGCAAAAATACCTGAGCTGTAATCAGACATGTTATTGTCATGATGGCAGCCAGTGCCCATCCAATGGGAAACGGCATCGAAATCAACAGACAGAGCAATCTTGACATGACGCTTGGGCGTTGATGGAGAGACTGTCAGTGCCGTTGATGGCTGCTCGCCAGAGAGCTGATACTCGCAGTCTGTAGGCATGCCGCCGTTTACAGGCGCCAGGTCCTGGGGGCAAGAGCTCATGACGATGATGAGGTCAGTTTCGGCTCTGAAGTTGACGAATTGTCCCTTCTCGCTGGTAGGGACCCTAATATCAAGGCCTCCATGGTGGTCAATGGCGACATTCATGAAGATATTGAGTGGATCAGGCACCCAGTCGTCTGCAATCTTGAAGTCTGGGAAGTTGTCCTTGAGCGCCTGTTTTTCATCGCCGTGTCAGCCAACCCCTACCCCGCGTCCGAATCTTCGGACTTTGCAATTCTTACTTTGTGCATATTATCCGTACAGTTGTCGTGGTAGCCATCAAATCCCTGCATGCGATACCTCTCCGCGTCGCACGCCGACCAGATTAGGTCGTGGGTGCCGCGTGTGGTGTCTTCGGTCAGAGTTAAGATAGGCTTCCTCCGTGTGCTGTAGAGCTTGTCGCCCTTCGCCAGAGCAACCTTGAGCAGAATGGTCCTCGTGTGGACCATGGACAAGAAGTCATTGGGGTCGTTGGGATTGAAAGCCCAGAAGTCCAAGACTTGCTTGCCATAGGTGTTGATGACCTTGATATCCTGGCCTGCCTTGACCGAGAAGGCCACCGCTCTACGAGCTTGGATGATAGGCATCTTCAATAGTGTTCAGTGGCTACGTAGATGGCCTCTTGCGTGTAAATCAGGGCTGACTGTCTCAAAATCTTCGGAGAAAAAGAAGAAAGAGCTTTAGCTAGAGCTCTTCAGAAGATCAAGAGCTTCCAGTAGCTTTCCATGTGCGAATGCGCGCCTTTGACCAGGTCAAGTCGACTAGACTAGAGATTATGCGGGGTTCCCCGCCGTCAGATCTGCGCCGAAACGGTGTAACGTGGTTGGCCGAGCTTGGCCGCTAGCACGGCCGCGAGCATGATAGCGACGCCAATTCAACGCCCGTGGAGGGGCCAGTCGACCAAGATGGGATGGCCGAAGAATGGAGGGTCCTATCTACCGACTTAGCTTGGTGCAATGCAGTGGGGTTGTGATCGTTGTGATATCGTGGTGGTTTCACGATAAGTGATGTACCGATCCAGCTTGATTCAGAATAGCAAGGTCTTTCGATGATGATATTCTAGAAACATCCAGTTGCAGACCTCGATGCCAATATCCAACGCAATACAAGTGACGTAATCTTTCTTTCAATCGTTACCTTGACGATAATGACTTCAAGACAATGCATCAAACTAGTCAAATTATTGGACTTCAACTTCATAAGTACAAGCAATACTCAGTTCCATAAATTGTTTACCGTCTTAGAATGGTGTTTCACGTGAAATTTTGATTGTCTACATACAGTATTTGTGTATGTCATAGTTTGAAAATCCTAGCGAAGTACTCCTGAATCCATGCCCCATCAATTGGACCTCCCGATCCTACCAGACCATCCGGTCGAAGGATGATAGCGCCACCTTTTTCCATGTTGATTCCGAACTTATCATGTGCTGTACTTGTAGGGTCGAAGTAGGTGTTGCCAAAAGGCCTTGTGCCAATCGCCTCGTATGGGGAGCAGCCAACAACGGGGCTGACTGTGATCCAACCGATGGTCTGATGTGTCTTGAGACTCTTATTTAACTCCAAGTATTGTTCTAGTGCCTTTATCGATGACCGTGTTGCATTGACGTTGCCTGTAAGGACAACAACCCAAAACTTGGCGAGATTGCGGGTGACGCGCTGGAATCGGATCTTCTGGTTAGTACCCGGCATGGTGAGCTCGACGTCCGGGGGACGACTGCCAGGTACCACCGCCAATTCCAAGCTCGATGTCTGATTAAGAATGTTGGGGGAATATTTGATTCCAAGTCCTGTATTGAATGGCGCTGCTCTCTCAAACAGCTCGCCGAGAGCGAGGTACGGGTCGGCACTCGGGTCTCCCTTGTACCAGGCGGGCCACTTATGTGACATAAGCATGGCAATGTCCTTGTCATAGTCGATAAGTTGTTGCACGGCCGTCATACGCTCGGTGGAGTATGTCTTCAAAACGTCGTCTTGAGTGATGCCACGGATCTGCAGGGCGAGTTTCCAGCCCAAGTTCACGGCATCGTGTGTTCCTGTGTTTAGGCCTTGAGCCGCACCACTGCTGTGTGTATGGGCGGCATCGCCGCAGATAAATACACACTCTTTGGTTGAGAACCCTCGGGCCATGCGCTGTCCAATCGTGTATCTAATAGTGTTAGATCTAGGAATGTGAAACAGCATAGGCAGACTTACAATGTCCACCAATGAACTTCCTTGAACTTTACATTGAACGGCTTCATACTCTCAAGGGCTTCTTTCACGGCGACCTCCTCCGTCACACCCTCTGGATATTTGGCAGCAATTTCAGGACTGAATGCGTATCCAATACGTGTGGCACCATGGTCAAGCGGCGCCCACAAGACATTACCGTGCGTTTTACTTTCAATAGCACTGCAAGGCTTATTTAGAGACAAAAGAAGTCGCCATCGTATGGAAGTATGCTTACCCATAGGATCGATTGAGAGGCATATCAGTCTCCACGATGCCGTCAATACGAATCCACTTATCCTCGGACGTATCGCCATCAAAGGGTATACCAGCGTGTCTGCGGACGAAACTGCGACCACCATCTGCGCCAACAATATACTTGCTGCATCGACATTAGTGTCATTCATAAAACACTTTGCTTAGATTGGTTACCTTTTCAACTTGAAGATCTTCTGTGTCTTGAGGTCTTTAAACGTGGATGTTACTTTATGTGTGCCAAGAGGCGCCGACTCATCGACCTCGAAATCGATACATTGAGTCTCTTGATAATAAAAGCCGCCAACTGATTCGAGCTTCTCACGAAGTATGGCCTCTGTGTACATTTGACGTAGAACGAGAGCAAAATCATAAGTGGTGTCACTAATGTTCTCCATAAACGTCCACACTCTGCCGGGTATACTTTTCGGGGTTAGTCAAGGCCGGAAGTGATGCCGGGGAACCTCGTCTTACACTCTTTGTCCATCCTTGTATGTGACGCTTGTTCGGCAGGCAAATCCGAGCTGCAGCATGGGTTCTATTAGATCCAGCTGGTCGAGCTGCTCCGTAGTCCTAGGGAACAAAGCGATGGCACGCCCGAACGCATCTTGGGTATCTTTACTGTACTGCTCGAATACACAGACAGAGACCCCAAATCGTTTTAGTTGATATGCCATCAGCAGGCCGACCGGCCCTCCACCCACAATCACCACGTCGTACTCAGCGACTTTATCGTCGACAGCCATCCTGACCATGCTGAACTTCTTTCGGGTGCCAGAAATCCGGTTATCGCCTGCAGTCAGTTGCAGGGTTGCTTGATAAGGCAACTATTCAACACCGGAGCACCGAGTACCCAAGAAAATCAACTGTAGTATAGGACCTATTCGCAATATTCTTTCCCAGTCGTTATGTTCTTACGTTGGCTTGCATAATAGTTTTATTTCAGGGTCCTGTCTATCTGCGTTGTCACGGCCAATCCGTCTGGCTAGGCGCTAGAAGCGGTCATGCCCGTACTACGGGCAAATCACTATCGCGTCGCCCGTACCTTTAGTCCGCCACCTCTCCAACATCCCCCGATAAGGAACAAGGACTCTACATCCGCATCTAACCTAGCCAATGGTCTGATGTCAATGATTTTCGTAGACCAAACACGCCATCGCGGGCAATTGTCCTATCAAAAGTCGACGCTCGGTGGAGAATGGAACGACTAAGCGACTTGCTGTCCTTTGGGTTGGAGCTTCTGCGGCATGCCGCCGCCGACAACTCGCTCGGGGAACGCCATCCCGTCTTGCATGCATTGACTGACTCTAGTATTGAGGCTCTGCGAGCAAAGCTCTCAATAGCTTGGTAACTTTTAGAACTGGTCTAGAATGCGGCTCACTATTTGACTAAAATCCGGGGTTGCACATATCGGCGGCATGTTCCTCAAGCATGCCTGTTGTCCTAATTGCCTGTCATATTCCATTTATAATCCCTTGATGTGCAATCTAGCAAGTACTGTATTCATAGGAGTGTAAATGAAGTATCGAAAAGCGTATGTAGACCCGTTTAGAATTACTCTCCCATTGTCTAAGAAGATAGAAATTTATACAATTTGTCGGGTAACGGATAGGTCTACTTTGCTAAGTCATGTTTACCTGAAGCGACTATCCAGCCCCCATTACGATAGACATCTTGCCTTAAAAGGAGGTATTCGGTAGATCATTCAGTTCATTTCAACCATCCCGAGTACAATTTACCGGTCGGTGGTACAGTAGGATGTGGTTATTACATCGCGAGCCAGCATCTCGAATTGCATATTCCTTCTGAAATGGTATCGTGCTCCTCCTTTGCCGCTGCAGCATGTGAATCGTTCACGTAATACGATTGCGTGTTTTGGAGTCTTGGCACAATCTCTCGTTGTGATGAATTTGCAAATTCGATATGTCACCCAAGAAACCTTGGCTCTTGGCCAAAGTCCGGCTCCTTGGCAACCCAATGGATCCCGACAAAATATTCGAGAACCGACACCGTCCTCTTATCCCCCGATTCCCTTGGCGAGACGGTCACCCGTGCTTGATACTCTGGCACGTAGGCTGCAATGTCCCATTGAGGATGTCGGGTTGTTGTTGACCGATAGAGTATGGCTTCAATGTGAACTGCTTTGACACCTAACCAAGTGCCCAGTCACGAACAAATCGTTTGAACATTAGTATACAGCAAAAGAAGTACAATTCGATACTTCAAGTTGGTGCTTCGTGTTGAGCGATGGCCGGTAAGGCTTTGGCATTAACTGATGTTTAATCGATGACCGCGAATTGATAAAGTATTTGGCGACAAGAGTGTTCTTGATACGGGTCAAAGAATATTAAATGCAAACTACTCCCAAGCTTTTGTGTGTTTTAGCCATGAGTCATGCTTGATGACTGAATACTTGCCAAGAGCCGACCATCCTCTAGACAGGCACGGCCGACAGATAGCCAATAATAATCCCAACTACGGCCGTCTGTGATACGGAAGATCTAATCTATGTGGTTCTATCATCAATGCTGTTCTTATCTTGTTTGCCCGGCGCTAAGTTTACAGAGGCCCTTCTGTTGGATCTGTCAGTTCACCGTCAAGACTTGCAAGATTCTTCTACAGCGTTATATCACCAAACCAATATGTACATTAAAGGAGCGCCGGTTCATTGTTTTAAAGGCATGAACCAGACAGAACATTTCTGTGAAAGGTATTACAAGAAGCACGAGCCGTCGCTATCTTCTCTAGAACGGCAGCCGACTATTGCCCATCATGATGGCTGAAGTACCGAAAAGCCCTGAAGTTGAGCAGAAGGGAGTTACCGACAGTGTCGACATGGAACAATCCGAGAGATACATTGATCCAGTGATCCAACGACGGACAATCCTGAAACTGGATACAGTCGTCCTCGGCTGTTTTGGTATTATGTATTTACTAGCCAATCTGGACAGAAACAATTTGGTAAGTGATGCGTACCCCGGCTTCATCGACTTATCAGACTAACTGGATATCTAAGGGCTCTACGAACATTATGGGGCTTCCCCAGGATTTGAATCTTAAAGGCAACGAGTTCGGCAATGCGGTCACAGTCTTCTACGCAACATACGTGTTCTTCGAAACGCCTTTGTCCATTTTGATGAAAATTGTTGGTGCCAAAAACTTGCTATCGACATGTATGCTTGGCTGGGGTATTGTGTGCCTCGGCATGGGCTTTATCAAGAACGTGGGTCAGTTGTACGCCTGCCGTCTCCTGCTGGGCCTTTTCGAGGCAGGTTTAATTCCATGCATTAATGCCTACATCGGAATGGTATATCTCAAATCTGAGATGTCTATGCGATCAGCAGTTTACTACTGCTTCAGTGCGATTGCGGGTGCCTTCGGTGGTTTGTTGGCATCTGCAGTCAACAATCTCAACACTGCTGGTTTGGCTTCCTGGTCTTGGCTATTCATCATCGAGGGCATCATTACAATAGTTCTCGTGCCTTTGATTTTCTTCGCCTTCCCAAAGGACCCGCGAACGGCCTGGTTCTTGAACGAAGAAGAGCGGAACGTCATGCGACTTCGCCACGAGCTCAACCCACAACTAAACATCGAGGATGAGTTCAGCTGGCCAAAGATCATTAGTGCCATGAAAGATCCTAAGACTTATATGCATGCCGTTATCGAGTTCTGTGTCGACATCTCCCTGTTCAGCCTCACGACATTTATGCCTGCAATCATCAAGGGAATGGGATACACGACAGTACATTCGCAATTACTAACCGTCCCCGTTTACGTCTGGGCCACCATCTCTTACTTTGTCATCGCATATCTATCAGACCGGGTTGGAATGAGAAGCCCGTTCATCATCGCTGCATGTCTTGCACTCATGGTTGGCTACATCATCATGATCGCTACAGACAATCTGGCCGCCCGGTACACCGCCGTCTTCATTCTCGCAATTGGGCTTTACACCACGGTAAGACTTTATTACTCTCGACATACATACAAGCAGACAAGGTTCCAAGGCTAATGATGCATCTAGACGGGTCTCACCATCGTATGGCTCAATGGCAACTTCGCCGGCCATTTCAAGCGGTCCACCGCTGTCGGTTTCGTTTTCAGTATCGGCAACACATCTGGCGTGGTTGTGGGTCAGATTTTCAAGGCTCAGAACGCCCCTAGATACCTCCCTGGCATGCGCGTAACGCTAGGCTTGACGGCGGTGGCTTTGGTCCTCACCGTGGCGCAGACCTTTGGTCTACATTGGGTAAACAAGAAGCGAGAGCAAAGGCTAGCGACGCGAGAGCCGACAGCGACAGGAAGTGAATCAGAGTCAAAGCGAGAGATCAGCGACTACGATGATACTTTCAAGTACACATTGTGAGCATACGGAAGAGTCGGTCGTGGAAGGATTGTCGTGAATTCTGTAGTGAATGTTGCCTAGGATTGTTAGTTGGGCTCTACCGCGTATTTCGAATGAACAGCTCTAGAAAGTTAGGATGGTAGTATGGTCCAAGACTATGACTGGACTTCGGTGTTTTTGTCGGTGCCGAAAACTGGCTCGGAGCCATTGGAACCATTACTAAGTGGTTGATCTGTCGTATGGACATTGAGACTGCTCGCTCTTGCAATTGCACCTTCGGCCGAATTTTGCTTTCGGGGCGTCGCGAACTTTATGTGGTGGAAATTGTAGCTTACAAATCGTGCGTGTCACGGAACCATACCACTAAACAAAGTAGCGTGCTTGAGACGGAATTTCCGTCGCGCCCATCGTATAAGCCGGTGTAAGGACTAGATGGAAGAAAACCTATGTTCGTAGATGGCTATATATAAACAAATTACCTAGCAAGTAGACCTAGATGAAAGGCATAAAGGAAAGCCAATCCTGCAACGAACCATGGCCGACCAGCCCCCTATTGTCATAGCCAGCCCAACAGTGGTAACTTAATCGACTACTAGTAATCCACCGTGAGTGCAAAATGGTCTCATATCAAACAGTACAGCAGTCCAATGGTCGCCTGACTTCCCTCCCAAAGGGACTTGTCGCCCTTTTCATTGGCGCCACGAAAGGTATCGGACAGAGCGCATTGCAGCATTTCGCCCAACATGCACCATCCCCTCGCATCTATACAGTCGCTCGTCCCTCAGCAATAGTAGCTCACGAGGAGCTTTTGGCCTCGCTGCGCCATTCCAACCCTAGCGCTATTTTTGACATAATTACGGCTGACGTCTCACTCGTATCGGAGGTTGACAGAGTTGTCGATGCTATCAAGCAGAAAGAAACCAAGCTCGATGTCCTCTTCGTATCTGCAGGCTTCATGGCCTTTGAAGGCAGGAAGGTGACGAGTGAAGGTCTGGAGCCATCAATGACAACACGCTACTATTCACGTCTCCGTGCCGTCCAGCTTTTGCTTCCACTGCTGAAAAACGCCCCAAGCCCGCGCATTGTCTCGGTCCTGGCAGGCGGGATAGAAGGGCCAATCGATGAAGATGACCTCGATCTTCGAGAGGCCAGCAACTGGTCATTCTGGAATGCATCCGTTCACGCTGCTACCATGGGCACTCTGGCACTGGAGCTGTTAGCACGTGAGAACCCAGAGCTGAGCATCGTCCACTGGTACCCCGGCCCAGTAGCCACACCAGGGCTTGCTAATGCGCGAAAGTTTGGCATGTCACCACCGAACCCTATGAGTCAGGAGGAAGGAGGCGCCCGCGCTGCTTTCTTCGCTACCAACGATCGGTATGCTGTTAAGTGTGGACTTCTACCAGTCCCTGACGGGATAACCACTCTGAAAAAGTCAGGCGGAGGGATCTTCTTGATTGGCCCTGAAGGAGAAAGTACTGACAATGAAGTCGTATTAGCAGACATGAGGCGACGTGGAGTAGACAAGACAGTCTGGCGTTTCACTCAGAGAATATTCGATGATTGCAGAACTAGAGCAAGTGGCACTAAGGATGAGCTGTGAAGACAACGTCTATTAGAGATCTAACTTGTAGCAGCAGGACAAATTACTGATGGTGACTATGAACAGATGCCTTCTCAAGTCGTCTAAATCAGACGTCTACCGGCGATTGATCATTCACAGTGTATAGCTCCATCTGAATGTGTGTGGCACTCCTGCAAGTTTGTTAGCTTTTGAATGACAATGCCATCTTTGAAGAGTCATCTTACCGTAGGCGCGGTACTTGTGACCGACGGCTGAGCACCAGCAGTCGAGGATGGCGCCTCAGAGGCATCGGGGAGTTTGCCGCTACAGCCAATCCCAGGTGCAGCAATATCATAGGCGTAGACATCGATAGCAAAGTATTGCAGAGTGTCACTGTCCTTTATCGATAGCTCAGGATTGTTCTGAGCGAGCTCGATGACGTCTGTATAATCTTCCGCATAATGGTCCACAACTTCCTCGCTGATCCTGGGCACATGGAAAATACGGTGCAGGAGATCAGTCGCCCAGAAGGTGTTCAGTTTAGACTCAGCCACGGTGTACCCTAAACCGCAGACCGAGGAGAGAGACCTCCGAATCTCAAACGACAGCGGGCAAATGACTGTCTCTTGGGTAGCATTCTCACCCCGCCAGTGTCCAGCCCATCCTGATATGTTAGCGTTAGCAATGTACACATTGGATCTTGTGTCTGGAATCCGCTGTCACTCACCTATTTGAGTGGCACAGTTGCGGTCTGGGTCATCACAACGAAACGTCATGCCCGTACGATCTGCAGCGAGGACGCGCTCGTACCAGCCTATTGGGCCAGCCGTTGACGCGTTGCCGAAGTATTTCTGGACGAAGGGCGACTCATTACCCCAGCGGAGCAAATGATCACGGGCGTGTTGCGCGAGGTCAAGAGTCTCCTCTAGAGCGTTCTCCAATTGAGTTCGAAGGGTGCTGTTACAAGAGTAATGGATAGGGAAGGAAGGGGTCCCGCCAACAGCCCAGTCATAAATCGTAGGCGCTGAAGATGGGGCAGCCCTGGATACAGTGATAGTCGCTGTGACTGTTTCGGACCGAGGAACGAGGGGTGAGGCGCTTGTAAGAAGTGACCCTGAAAGCCAGACGGCATATGTGGCAAACAAAGTATGAACAACCATTTTCCACGAGTATACTCTGCTTGCGAGAGCGGCTTGAATGAATTATCTTTGGGTGAGAACTCTTTGCCTCTTGCCTAAATGGAAAATTGTCAAATTGACAGGCCAAAGATTACGCCTATTTATATTCGACCTGATCTATTACTCTCACGTTGAGAAAGATGAGAGCCCAATGTGCCCAGCCGCTAACTCTGGTCTATTTCTAAAAGACTTGGCTCCTCAACCTTGATGACCGCTGGACATGTCAACGTCTGTGAATACCATGCGATGCGGTGATTCTTCACCTTTCTAGTCATCTTGCCAAGACAGCAAAAGTTTTCGCGTGGTATCTCAATGTAGACTAGAATCATGTGCCAAGTCGGTCGATCTGTTGGTGAATGCGATGGTATATATGTGGTCATGGCTGGTTTGTCCATCAAGGTGCTCCTCAGCGTCTCCACAAAACGTGGATAATGCCAGCACCAAGTATCCGTGAAAGTCAGGGTCACATATAAAGCAGTGTTGTCAGGAATTCACTAGCCCACATATTTGAAAGCTGAGGTCATCAGGTGCCGAAATAAGCGTTGAAGGTAAGGTCACCGACAACAACTCCGTTCACCTGTGGCACCTGAGTCGTTGACAGTCTTCTCGTTCCATGACTCAGAGGAAGCCTTGAGAACCTGAATCCTAATTTAATCTCCTACATGGTTGAATATCTCTGATGAACGCATGCTAGCGACAGTTGAGAAGAGACTGTCAGGTTACCTCAGGGCCAGGGATGTAAACAATAATAGTAGTCTACTGTTGTCAGGGATCTCGCTACTTCTTGCTGTAGAAGCCTCTTCACTATATTAGTTAGTCCTGTTACAAAAGCCTACAAGCATCAGAAAGAGAACTATTTATTGAGAACATTTTACTGTGTTAAATTGGTTACTGTGAAGAGAGACAATGGTATTATGTCTTATTATGTATCTTATAGTGTATCAGGCAGAGTGATCTGAGCCAAATCTGATCAAATAAATAGTAGTCTACTAAATTGAAATACAATAGATTGAAGATTCATGGTTACTTTTACACTTCCAAAGCCCAAATGTTCTGTAATAGTGCACCATCATGGTTATCCCTTTACCCAGACTCCTCTGACTGCTGTGGCACGGCCCATTATGATCCCTGCGGTCTATCTATTTTGCTATCCTTGGAAGAGCTGGAATTCCAAGCATCTTCACTCATGCTGATTTAGGAAATATCAGGAACATCGGGCTCATTCTTCTCGTCGTAGTTTGACGAATTCGGGGTTGGATACGGTCTCACGATACCATTGGCAACATGGAAACTCGCGTCGCTTATAGACTCATCTTCAGTTGTACCTTCCCCCTCACTTGTTTGCATGCTCTGATGAAACCGTGCTCTCTCCTCGACAAGAGCAGCTTCTCTCCTACTGAGATGCTCGAGTTGCTCGCTGACTTCAAGCTCTTTTAGTTGCAGCTTCCACCTTTTCACTTTTGGGTCTCTCCAGGTTTTGAGTAAAGTCTCGGCTCGATTTCTCTGGCGATCACGGGTGAACTGATCGAGGTTATCTAATATTTTTTGGATCTGCTCATTTCTCTCTTTACTTTTGGCTTCGATTATATGCAAAATAGGATCAAAGACGTTATGTCTTAGCCGATGCCAGTCGAGTTTCGGTAAATCTTTTCCATGTCGTAATTCACCGGGTGGGCTGGGTAGGCCGTGCTGCTTTTCCTCAACATCTTGAGGAGCCACTATGTATTCAAATGCGCGCAAGAGCTCATATGAAGTCAATGGTTTTGGTGCCTGCTGATTGCTCGCCCATCCTACAGAGAGGTCTCCGAAGCTGTCCCGTTTGAAAGCGTCACGTATAGCTTTAGCCAGTTTAAGGTCGTGTGTCGAAAGATGGTTAACCTCCGTGACTATTTGATTAAAGGTAGCCTCGAGTTCCTCCTTTTTAATTCCTTGTTTTCCTAGTTAGCTCTATACTCGCTTCTAGACTTCAGTTGCATGAAAGTACCTTCAACATTTGTATCAGCAGGTACTGCCGTCTTCACCTCGTTAGGTGCTCTCCAGAGAATGTCAATCTCCCTGGCAAGCTCCTCCTTCAGCCCAAGAACCAACGCAATAGCGAAACGCGATGAATCTGCTGCCAGGTGTTGAGTGTGATGCCAACAGCGCGTCTGTGGCTCGGATCGAATGCTTTGGTCACGGCTTGCGACGCTGGCTTGGGCACCAACGGCCGCTCTCCACATGAGATGGTACGGCTCGGGATCGCATTTGTATTGCCATAGTACATTGCATTGTCTTGCTAGCGAGTCCAAACACCTTGAGTCTCCCAAGTCTCCGGGCAAAGTTGCTACATCTTGTTGAAGGCTCGCTAAGACTAGTCTGATGGCGCTCGCATCGTCATGCGTGAAGATGTCTACCTTTGTACGTCCCGCCGCCAGAGCATCGTCGATTTTATCGCGGAAAACCAAAGATCGGCTTCTGATTGCGTTTTTATTGTGTATGCGGAAACATTCTCTCGAGCCGGTGCCAGTGGTCTCGATAGCGATGTCGATCCAGTTGTATTGATGTTGTGGAATGGCCATCACTGCGGGGTTCGCAGCCAGGCTTGGATAAGGGTTAGGGATGCTCGGCTGGCTCTTCACGTAACAGCTGCAAGATTCTACATACCTCCATGGAAGCTAGATACTTTGCAGGTCTTCATGCAATCAAGGAGGGTATATTCTGGGTGATGGTTACGAAATGCTCTGGAGTTTTACCAGGCTCTGTGAGGTGGCTGGTCTCGAAGGTTGGGTGAAGAGTCAGCGAGGCATTGCCCCCTTTTTGCGAAGGCTTATCGGCGGTCTACAGAGTGTCTTCCCTCACGCGGATTGTCTATGTAGCTGCCAGAAGCCGCATCATGTGCCAACGGAGGCCACCAAAGTGTTCGCTCCCAATCATTCCTTTCTTCCTGCAAGATGCAAGCCATCTTTGTGAACTCCTCACGCCCGAAAGTGACGACATCAAAACGGGACGCGGCCCCCGCGTTGAGGCACGAGGCAATCGAGCTACCGTCTTCTTGCCGAAGCGGCATTGGCTCGTGCACTGCCTTGATAGGTTTCTCTGCTCTCATTGGCAAGATCAGCCACTATCGCTACAGCTGAACCCTCCACGCCCGAGCTAGACCTGTCTCGCTAGGAGCTGGGTCCATGGCCTGGCTCGCCTGGGACAGAACATGAATGAGGCTCATTCGATATTGAAGTGACTTGCCCGGGAACAATTGCACTGCAAAATATGGCGTTAGGCAACAATTTGTCGGGTCGCGTTCACTTCCTTTTTCTACTTCCCTACACTGCAGATGAACACGGGAGAATCCGTCACATGCGAGCCATTGTAGTTATTGCTAGATTGATTCTGTTAGTGTTAGCGAGCACTTCTCACAAGCCCGCGGAGGGCCGGTGAGCGACAGAGTTTGTCTCCTAGTGGCAGAAGCTGCACAGTATTCATTGGACGCCTCTCTTCCCTTCAACTCTGTGCCATGCAGTAATCAGGATGTGGCTTGTCAATATTGTTTCCGGCTAACCCCAAGCTATGATCTATTGGTTGTCAAGGGTAGAGTTCTTTACAAGGCGGGATTGAGCATTTGGCGCACCACGGCGGCAACCAGGAACGCGTGTTCTTGTCGTTGTATGATGTTTTGCAGAGGCCGCCGTCTATGACGATGGTTTCGGTTCTTCTTTTGTATCATATCATTGTCGACCTTGATTCTTCTCCGACGCGTGTGATGCTGGCGCTGCAGTTTTCATTCCCTGCGATCTTACCATTTTGCTAAGGTGCCTTCTGGTCCTTAATAGCGCTCTCGAAATGCCCGCGTTCCGGTTTCCCGTCGCGCCGCCATCGCCGCAAGTCAATGTTACTGTGAAGGAAGATGATATCCAACAGAATCCTCAACTCTACTTCCAGGTACGGATCCCTTGCAATCAATGGCATGCAGCAGCTGACATGTTCTTTCCATAGGGTTCAGACATTGTATGGGTGTTAATATCTTCGGGCCTTGTGCTTTTGATGGTACCTGCGATGTGCCTTTTCTACGGAGGTGCTTCAGATCGACCTGCTTCACTGAAACTATTTCGTCTCCCACTCATTACGGCTGCTTTCGTTGGTGTTCAGGTACGGGCCGACTCCCAAATCCCTGGACTAAATCTAATTTCGAGTAGTGGTATCTCTGGGGCTATACTTTAACGTTCACGCCCGCTATACCAACATTTCCAACATCTTCGAGCTTCAACCACCCTACGAATATTTCTTGGTATGGCGGAGATACGGAAGGAAATACACTACATGGTACATTGACAGCACCGGTTGGTGCGGCCGGATTTAAGATACCCGAGCTCTTGTACGAATTTTACGAGGGCATGTTTGCGTCATTCACGTAGGTACCAGGAATCTCTAAGGATTGGCCGTTGCTAACGAGCTACAGCGCAGCACTAGTAAGCGGAGCAGCGATCAAGAAGGGGGTCACAGTAGGGCGATTCATTGTCTTTATCTCTCTATGGTCTCTGCTCGTGTATAATCCAGTGGCTCGCTGGTCTTGGCACTGGTCAGGTTGGTCTAGCCGATATGGAACAATGGACTTCGCCGGTGGC